TGTTTGGTTGTTGGTCTGTTCGCCGAGCTTGGTAGTTGGATTGCAAATGTTTCATCACCAATCGAGGTGACATCGTCAGTGCAGGGTTTAGTGGGTGAATTCCTCCTCTTCTGCCTGTGATTATATAGCTCCTAAACAGTATTTCGTGGTTCTGGAGACGGTCATCGTGTAGTTTGATTGGTCTTCTGTGAATCTCACGTGGTTTCAACCTCCTGTGTCTGGTTGGTTCTTTGGGTGCATTCAGTTCGCCAATCTGAAGTATCTTCTGCTGACCCGCTCCAGTTCCTAGTGCCGGAGAAAAAGGACTTGCATAGGGGGACACAACAGCTATATTCCGAACAAGCGAGTGCAAGAGCTTGAGTGCGTGCGAGTGCCAAAGTACAACTCAGTCCAATACTGACGCACACCGTCTGGCTTTGGTACGACGCTGTGTCATGCTCCTTACCGCGGGTGCGTTGTCTGACCTTGATTGACGCTGAATCGCGCTGTCTGGGTTTGATACAAGGCTGTAATGCGCGGCATGCCGAGGGGGCGTTGTCTGTCCTGTCAACCGCTAACGGAGCTGAGAGTCCCGGCAGATTTGAAGCATTCAGTGGCTACTATCAGGAAGCTGACCTTCCTCAAAAAAATGTGTACTCACTTACGACTAATACACATCTTCCGCGAAACCATTTAAAACATATGCTTAAACAAAGTTGTAGTTGCTAACTCACCAAGTGCTCACCAAGTCATATCATCGATCACACTACAACCAAAAATAATATAAATTCAAATGCATATAAAAAGCCGCGCCGCACTACCTCTCCAACAGGAAAGAAGAATACCTGCGATCTTATAAAAGCTTTGTTCTACCCCCATGGATTTCTTCGGCCAGCCGAAAGTATTGCCCTCATTACAGAATTGCACATCGCAACACAATCACCTCTAAATGAAGTCCATTATGGGGCGCTCCAGTAACCGGAGCATTTCACTGCAATGATGACGTGGCACTGCCTTACCCAGTTTGATAGCACACCGGGGGCTATTCAATCCCTTCTCTTGACTGTACCGTACAGCTCGTTCAGTCAGCCGCAACTACGAACAACCTCATGCTTTATTCTGGCTGTAACCTAATGATCATGCTTTACGGTACGCCACCCACCTGATGTCACCAAACACCATTATGATAACTTGGCACATCGTGGGTAAAAATGTGCACAACAACATAAGACTTTGGTCCATTCAGTCAAGTACACCAGCGCCTTTTCTTCCTCTTCGAAGATGGGAACGACTTCTGCATACTTCAGGTCGACAATATTTTCGCCAGAATATATTTGAAAACCGGGTTTATGAGGTGCTTTACCGTTCGTCTCATTATCTACTCGATCACGAAATTCAGTAGGAATGGAGAGAGAGCGCCGTCAACGGACACCGCTCTGTGTAAAGAGCTCCCCATATATTTCCTTAACATGTCCGCCCCTTATGCACCTCTCGTCTACGACGACGCAAAAGACTCTGGTTGACTACTTCACCTGCACGTCCTCTCTCCAAAGATACCCCTACCATATGCTGAACTTCATAATCCGCATTATGCAATACAGGATAGGAAAACTAAAATGGAAGCAACTTTTGCCGGCTCCTGAGTTTCTGGCCTGAGCGTGTCCTGTTGGGAGCATGTATCCCGGGCGACCCCTCCTATGAATCAAGAGTTACATGTGCGGGGCTGTCCATGAACCTAAGCACGACATCGCGATGACGGCATGTTCGTATTTCACCATATCCCCAGTAGTTCCCGAACGAGCGCGTTATGCGCGCTCACAGTACCGACCCAACCAGTTTAATTTGTGGCAGGCCTTAAGAGCATCGGCCACTCTATGAATTTTTATACTTATTCTGCCCATATACCAACCAATTTATCCAACGGCCCTATCAAGGTTTCGGCATAACCGTGAATTTAAACCTTGCTGTGCGCCCAATATAACATGTGCTGACCATCATAAAAAGCAAAAGCTTTCTAGATATGAAGAAATCCTTAGATAAGTTTGGCGGTATGCCTGTCGCAACAACAGAAGATTTTTTCCTAAGTAGGTTGCGAATGGTTGCTCCATTTTGAGTTTGCGTGGACATGGGGTGCATTATTATTGTTCATATAGCCTTGAGATTATTTTCAAATCCGATAAAGAAGAAAACACTTGTAGGAAATAGCCTTCCCACAAAAATTTCCCACGGTATTTATGGACACGAAACGTGGAGCCGCTAGCAGCCATTACAATACGAATCCCGTGCATACAGTGGACCTTGTGTGCGCTTAAACAACGTCCAACAAACAGTGGCTGCGTGAGGAGATCGTAAGGATTGGAATAATTGCCATCAAATGTTAAAACATTATGCTAAATTTTCCTCTTCCCAACTGTGGTTCGGAACTATGGCTCGGCTACTTTGGGCTCTTGCTGGGGCTGCTGTCTCTGCAGTGGCAGAATAAAGGGAAAAGTTCGATGGTAGGAAGCTACCGAAAAAGGGAACAATGGGTAAGTGAACATACTGAGAAGTAGCGCACTGCACACAACGGAGGGAAATCCTCTAATTACCGCTCATAAAAAATTAATCTGCTAGATTGTCGACTTGTTATTTTTTCACACCGTACGCGGCCCATTCCTTCGAACATCTCACTTTCACTTTATCTTTAGGTATGGTTATAAAAACGACGTGCTCTTAACTTCCACCCGTTTTGGACGGTGACTGCGTTAACCTGTGCTAAAATCAAATGTTTCCTATGTCCTCTATGTGGAAAAATACCGGTTATTTAAATATCAAATGTATTTTCGATGGGATCTTGCCTACTATGTACCACATACCGTCACTGACTAACTTATGAGTTTTTAAGGTACCAATATTGAGATAGAAAAGATGGCACTGAATAGCCGCATCGTTCACAGCTGTCACAAATTGGGGGGAACTGGCTTATAAACAATGAATCTGGATTAATTTCAGGAGATGGTCACTATAGTGATAATATATTGTGATAGTGATAAAATATAATGTATATAATATGCATTATATGTAGTGGTGATAATATATTGTGTAAAGTTCTGCTTCTCTTCTCGATTCAGCGTCCTAGGTAAAGTCTCTCTATATCTTAGTAAGGTTCTTGGTACACGAAACCTTTATAATTGGGATTGTTTTGTGCTGTTTGGGATCACAGTATGGAAATAGAATAGGATCATAGGAGACCAGGAAACCAGGACAAGCTCAGAGGTTTCTCTAGATAATTATTCAATGTTGGGACATGTCCTTTAGTTACAAAGGACGGGAGTTGTAGGGCTGAACTCTGAGCTCGGAAAAAATTGTTTGTCGTTTCAATGTCACGCTACGTACTTGGGAGGGGAGAGTCAGATAATTACGAGGGATTTTAAAGATATTGGCTTCAAAGCATACAGATAGGCGAAGCACTGCACACAAAATATCAATGGTGTGTTGGTGGGTGGCCTAATCATGTATCACGACTGATAACAACGTTTCACTCATATAATTTTAACAGCACAAACTCACTGTGTGTTAATAAGACTTTGACTGTTTTCCGAGACACGGTGAACGGGATCACATCAGGACAGTAGACCATGGGACAGCGGTCGAGAAGAAAATAACCCGATGCCCGCACCCCGTCCATCAAGCGCCCATCCGCACGTGATCATCACCAGAAAACCGCACTAATCACAAGCTTAACCGCAGAGTTTACCTGAACAATGAATGGAAGGTTTCCAATTAAGAGCAGCCGATGACTGCACCCTCTCGATACTGAAAAAATATTCAGACGAGAAAGTTGAATTCCGTCCCATGTCTGTTGTATGGGATTTCCACTTATTAATCCGATCAAATGTGCCCTATCAGGACGTAGCTTCATTCTAAAAAGCTTGCGGGGACCATAACCAGCACTGAGAATAACAGCTGGAGAGACTCGCGTGGTTTTTTATTATGACCATTACTGTACCGAGTTTAAAACCGACCTGACATATCTGGTGACTTCCACCAGTAAGCTTTTGCAGCTGATGCCAAGACATCTGACAGTCTCCTTGAACCCTGGCCTCAGGATTTCCTAAGTTGTTCGGTACACTCAAGGATGCACTGGAATCTACAGCTCAATCAAAATGCCAGATTTTGGGAAGGTCAGAAAGGCAACAGCAGACATCGCACTAAACCAATGTAAAAATTTTCTGCCACTGAGTAACGTGGAGGGAGTGGGTGATGTTGGTATAAAACTTGCCACTGACTTAGATCACAGAAATTAAGGTTCAGGAGCTGCCACAAAAGAGCAACTGACCTTTATGAAGGCTAAAACAGTGCGTTGGGCTCAGCTAGATATCAGAATATCACTTCAGCACCTGTTTTATCGCCCAGTGGTTAAAAAGTTAAGTGGAACTGGTGATGAGGCGCACTTTGTTTATCATCAGGCCAGGCAATCCCCAAAGCCCTTTAGTCTGTGTCATTAAGCCATTTGCTCCAATGAGAGCAACGCATCTCTCCGGTATATTATCACCAGAAGCGATGATTCATAATGTCACACAGAGGATAGAGTGAAACCCAACTCGAAAGTTTAGCAGCAATTTGTTCATGGAATCTGGTCGGATTTTCCGGAATCCAAAGTGGATTAAATAACCGGTTTATTTCGCTTCTTCCAAATCGGTTCATGTTCAAGCACGTTACAGAAGCAAACTTCCTGACAACAATGCTTCCGTGGAGGACTATCCTACAGTCATTGTATACTATAAAGCCATATTTCAAATGGTTTGCATGCAAACTCGTGATGTTCCATTCAGTGAGAAAAGACTCTGCATCTTAAATCTTGCAGAAGGTTGCCTATAATGTACCCGGTATTATCAGGCTAGATTAGTGCCATATTTCACCGGACTTTACCGTTTGTCTGGCAGGTAGAGAGCTCCACATTCAATGAATGAAACGTAAAAGCCAATGCGCCGGTACATTCCATCTTGGTCATATAGGACCGTTTATAACTTTTAGCCACTATGCCAATTTTGGACAGAAAGCCGGACACAGATGTGGAGGGGGCAGCAGAAAGAGAAGCCGAGTATCAACAGCTTAAAGTAGCTCTTCATGTGGCTCAAGTGGACCGTTCGCGTTATGTAGAAGAAATGCATACAGCAATGGTTAAAATGAAGCAAGTTCACTTTCGATTTTGTCATTTGCACGAATGATGTTTGGTATAATTTTTCCCCGGCATTACACTTTAAATATACTTCCGCTTGTCTTTCTTTGATCAAGCGTTGATAATAGTGAATGAATTACAACGGATATACATGGCCGACAGAATCCTGTTTGCATATAACGGAAACGTGCTTAGAATCAACTATCAAATTTGTTACTTTCTTTCAGCGATTCGTGGCTTTCCTGTAACTGATCCATTATGTGTTCTTCCTAGTTTTCGAAAATTATTTAGCTATAAAAACTGATAGACGACACTGAAAAAACCCTAGAAATAATAAGTGAGGCACCTCACGGCACATTGGCTTCCTAAGAATTTTGTTTATGGCGTACATTTCATCACATTTTTTTCGAAGTCTAAGAGTTTTGATAGTCGTAAATCATGGAAAGTGGGCCGCTATATCCATGGTAATGATTTATGCACCAACGGGCTATCGAAAGATGGGTGCAACAGGATAACAAGAGATATGACAATTTATGGATACTTACAGACAGAATGATTACAACATAAATTGTTTGGTTGTTGGTCTGTTCCCCGAGCTTGGCAGTTGGATTGCACCCGAGCTACCTACATTCCACAACATTTCTAACATAAATTGTAGTGGTACTTCTCTTAAGAATTACTGAAAATCAGCATTTTTAATATGGCAGATTTGTAAAACGTCTCGTTCTCCGCAATCGTGCAGCCGATTCCTAATGACAGACACTCCAACAGAGTAGGATTATTACGAGCAGAAAAACAACATTCATTGTGTGCTTTTTGTGAAGAGTTTTTCCCGGCTCAAAATTTATTCATTTAGTTCTTGAGTTTCAACTTTGATCACCGAGGTAACGGCATCTCGGAGGAGCTTTGAGCTACATTCTTTAAGCCCCTTTCAGTCTGTTCTATCGCATTTGCTGATACCTAGTTTACTCTGCTCATTTTAAAGACAAACAATAGAATGTTTGGAACAGGAAGGAGAGCAACTTTTGGAAAAACTCCGTGCAATAGACAGCAAACCCAATCAGATTCGAGACCAGCGAATGTGTGAGGACTTAGTGAATTTGGCCGAAAACAAAGACTGGTTACAAGAACAAATTGAGGCAGAAAAGGCAAAGCACATGGATCTGGATGCAAAGGTAAACCACACTCTCAAATCAACCTGAATCAAGTCGTTCTTTTTGCAAATGGAGATGTCTCAACCTTATTAATATTAATAAGGGCGTTGTGTACACGTCTTACCACCAAAAGATGTAAAGCGAGTGAAAAAAAGATAAGCCTTCATTGACGCATGTCGTATTCGTGTCACGTATGGGGGCACTCTTAATACTATTGTGGTGGAATATCAAGCAGACTCAGTGTGGCCCCCGCAAGTTATACACCTCAATTCTCAAGGCTGGATTCGAAACATGTACTCAACCTGCTTGAGGAATAAAAGCACCTGGATGTGCACGACCTGCAACCGAAATAAACCATAAATCATTCACATAATCAAAATTGTCACAGAGATTCCTTTATACCATTACTTTTATAACACTGAACGACAAGGTAGAAAGGTTAGCAGAGTTAGTTGCAGTGCAGTACCGTCCGCGTGCTTCTCTAATTCTTGTTATGATCCTGACATCCATTGGTGTCAGCGTTGCCTCAAAGGCAAACTCGGTAGCCTCCATGCCCAAATATATCATAATAAATAACTACCAGGCTACCGCCGGCCTAAATATTCTTACTGGAAAATTACGATCAAATATTTGCGACACAACTTGCGTCGTGAGACATGGTCTATATATGTTTACAGGTGGTTTAATAAAACCTAGAAATTTTGTCACAGTTTTGCCACTGCCTTAGACATCGGTACAAAGGCTCACGTTACATCTGTTTATTTCCATCACATCCTTAGTATTTGGCTCCAGGACAGAAGTCGGGTTCCGTGTTCTGTAGGGTTTGAAAATAAGAACAAATCTACATGCAGTTGTTATAAGAATGCTGCCAAAATTATGCTACATAGTGATATTTTCCACTTAGAGAGGAATTAAGCCTACTGAATAATCCGTGGCTCTCTGATATGTTCACACTTATCCACTGAAGGGATCGATTGACTGCTCAGTCAGTTACATTTACTTCAGAACCCCACCACTTGTAACATTCCAAAGTGAGTTTCAAAAAGCTTTCCACTGAGGAAAAGCGTGGCTAGATAAGCAAAGCAAATTATGCGAAAAAATCCGATATAACGTGAGGTGTTCAAGATAAAGGCAATTGGTCAGGGATTATCTGAATTTTTTTCTAACACGTATCTTGAAAGCCGCTAGCTTCATTTTGCCGAGATAAGTTTTTCCCACACGAATCGAATTTTTTTATCCATGAGGATCAAAGACAATAAAATGAAATTACGAATCTGATGGTTTACTTTCCTTAGATACAGAGCAATTAAATATTTTTTTCATTCTAATAACACAAACAATGTGGGTGACACACAACCACATGGGGCTGCTTCTTTTCTGCATTAATTAATCGAAACACTTGTCACATATCATTTGCAATCTCACTGGTATGACCGGTGACAAAGATCAATCATAAGCGCTAGACGCTGAGCCTAAGAAGACTTTTGAATGTTTCTTCGGATTTTTAAGGCGACCCTCCGTTACGAGCAAATGTGGGTGCAGAATCCTATGACTGAACCTGAAGTCCGAATTCCGTTCTTTGGTTTTAGCTGACAGCTGCTCAAAATGAGTGATGTCGAAGTGCTGCATATTATCACATTACTACATGCAGCAGTACGTTTATGGGGAGCCTCAACATTCTTAGCACTATCAGATTACCGATCGGAGTGTAAAATTAGCATCTAAAGAAGGTCTTAACTGGTAGGGGGGTCAGCTTTTACTGAAAGGCTATTAAGCGCCGTAAAGCTGTTTCATCCTTGCCAGCGATCATCAACAGCGTTTTTCTCTAGGAACACACTGGGATTTCGAACCTGCGACCTCCCGGTTAGTAGCCTGAACACTTGACCGTTTCGCCATGGTTAGCTAGTCAGCAGTATGATCAACTCGCATCTACAAATGAAATAACTCCACCACCTGGCCAATTGTTGTTGATTTCGTGATTAAAGAGAGAATGTCCAAGATCATCATAGGTTCTGACTTGTCCGGCCTCAGAATGACGCCACTTCACAAAATGCCGTAATTAGGTTTTTACAATGTTCTCATATATATATATATATCAAGATTTGTACTCCCAATATATGAAAGCTTCAACTTGGACCACTATTCCCCCAATTTTCTCAGTCAACTGTCACACTCCTTAAAGTGCCAGCACCGCACTCTAGGATTGCTAACGGTGAAACCTGGCAATTTAGGAATGAAATGCTTCTTCCTTTTTTAGAGGATCTTTGGGCTGGGATATCCCACAAAATGTAGCCAAAAGACTTCCTGGTTATTGTACGAAGTAACAATATTGTCCCACATGTGGTTTACTAGGTAGAGGTGTGAAGACCAGAAGAGTTTCATGATGTCCTGCAGCTACGGATAAATGAAGTCTATTGCGATTTATACATCCACATTCGGCGTGCTAATTCGGCAAACAAGATTTTGGTGGTCACCAATACGTTGGCAGTGCTGCAAAACCGACGATGGTAAAATGCTGAGGCTGGAAGTGGGTCATGGAGGACTGACCTTGCGTTCAGACGACCGTTAACGGGTTGAAGAGATGTGATCGAAAAATAATGGAATCAACGGATAAATGCATCTACATTTCTTGGAGATTATTTAGCTGGAATAGAGAAAATCGTGCGAACCTTGCTACATTATGCCAGCACAAAGTCAAGCCGGTCATAAAGAAATAAAAAAGTTTTGACTTAACCTCTTGGATAATTAAATGTTCCTTCAATAGGTGGGCAATAATCTTTGTGATGAAATTCCATCTTTCCTAATAGTAGGAAAGCCTGTGTAAATTTATCCAGCCACCTGGCGCTAAGATTAGTTTAAATCTCACCAACATGTGGGTGGCATTTAGCTGCCAAGTTCTTTTATAATGGTCGAGCAGTACCGTTCTTTGCAAAAGGTAGCTTCGTTTCCTATCAAAATCTGATTGCATAGTGCGGCAGTCAGCATCCGTTTTGATTCCACTTACGAGAACCTTGTTGTTAATTGAATACAGTATGCATGGTTTCAAAACGCGAAGGTCACTGAACTCAGTCCCCAAATGAAATTTCCCTGGAATCTTGTCTTGAGTGATATGGGCGAACATTTTTACTGGATGTTTTGGTAATAAAGTTGGGTATGATCTACAACAGCAACAAATGATCTGTTTTATATCGTTCCACTACCCGCTTGTTACTATTCAACTGATCGACAGGAAAAAAAAGGAAACGTATACTTCATAACTACCTCTGTAAGTTTACCAAAACGGTGGAACATCAAATACAAAATTTCAGTGTGATCAGTTTGTTTGGGCGTCAAAAATTTTCAAAGGAGATTTTGTCAACTAGGAGAAGACAACACAGGCTGAAAAGCCAAGAGCCAGTCATCACATAGGATCACGTGGAGTCGGTCCCATAACCGAAAGATTGGCGGCGAAATATCCTGTCTAGATTCGAACGAATCACATTGCTAATCAGCTGCTCGTGGTGGAATAGTTTAGTGTTTAAACTACTGATCGGAATGTTGTGGATTCGAGACCCCCTTGAGTTTTCTTAGATGTATACTGCCTATTATATCGAATAGTGATGAACTGGCTGCATACTGCTTTTCAGCTTGTCAGCACGGACTAGCTCCACTAACAGCGGAAAATCTCTATAAGGTTTAAGCCGTTAACTATTTTATTATGTAAACCTGAATGATATTCATCCAAATTTAATCAGATTCGTAGTATGGAGAAAAAAGTGAACGAAATGAAGGTCAAACTTGGGGGCACGATGGGTTCAGATGACTCCGTTCGTCGTGTGCGAACCAAGCTGACCACGTTGGAGAACCGTCTGGTGCACTTGCTCAAGTCATACAATGAGGAGGTTGGGAAAAACATGCGTAAGTTTGAATCAGTCCTGTTGAACATAAAGTTGTAATTCTGTACTGGTTGATTTGTGCTGGATATAATGTCCAATCGTGTTGTTCCACCTTATATAAGCATGCTGTGGAAACTCCTTGTTTTGTAACTACATTTTCCGAACTGTTGTCATGACCTACTGATTTCTGCATATGTATAAAGAATGTCGAAACCGAAATGCAGCCTGATATCTGTCCTAAATCAATTTATTTAGCTCTATTTCCTCTGCGATAAGAGATAGCGGCAAGAACTGTCGTCCCAGCACGTGAAATGCCAAAGAACTTGCGTTTCTTAGCTATTTCTGCCACTTTTAAGCGTTAAGTGACCGATAATTCATTCGAAGATGCCAAAGTGTAGCCATCCTTTGCAAAAGACATGAAATTCTGGGGTTTTTGTCAATCATAATGATGTGAAATAAAAACGAACTCAAAGTCTTCTTACCCATCTTATCAAATGCAGTGTTTGGCTATGGGTACGCCTGATGCAATTTCACACCTCAAAAAAAACACAAGATATCATTGCTCGGATAAGAGTCCGTGAAGGTAGTGGTTTTGCAGAAGGGCATTATTTTGAAACGTGCGATATCCTTCGTACTAAATAACCAGAAGAGAGCGCTCCCAGTAAACCTTCATCTTTGCACGGAGTGGCGTTTCAACGTTCCCCACACATCTAGGATTAGTCCGTCTGATGTGTTGGGACAAAGTTTGGGTTTTTTTGGTTACATGCGGACTAAATTCACCACAAATTTTGTGTAAAATTAGGCAGTAATTACCTGTATTTCAAATTACATGCAAACATTTGCGGAAAAGTGGAGTCCAAGCGCAGTCACTCGACAAAAACATATGACATCAGTGTCAATTTTGAAGATATCGATGAGCTGATTGCAGGAAAGCACAAGTTCGAAAGTCATATCAGCTTCCACTGAACTGAGTTTACTTGTTCGAATGTCCGGTCGTATGGTAGTCTTAGGATAAGTCGTTCTCTAGAAAATATGCGTGAAAACAGCTCCATCTTGCCGAGCCTTGAAATAACTCATCATTAGTCAGTCACTCTGCGTACATTAACTTCCGTTCCCGGTATAAGCAGCTGCATAGTGGGAAAACCGCTCAGAAAACTAAATATCTCCCTGAAAATCCAAGGAAACGTGGAGTAATCGGAGTATCGATGCAATACTTTGTACTTTGAATGCATTGTGGACTGCCGTAACTTGCAAAAACTCAAGGAGATAATCTGAGCACCTCCTGCAAGATTTTCTTGTGATTTCGCTGTCTATAACACAAAGAATAAGTTTGCACTCAACCAGCACAGGATTTGATGTGTGGCCGGATTATTAAGAGTCCAAAGAAATATTAATAGTTCTGGTGGACGTTAAACAACGCTTACAGGATTTATGTTCCCCTTGAATAATACACAGATTCCTCATTTTTTCCGCATTGAAAATCTGCGAGTCTACTGTCAGTCTTCTTGGTCAACATCTTTAACACTTAAGCACAAGTGACTCAGAAATTGGGTCACCATTCAGCTGTTCACTTACCAAGCGAAAGTAATTTTGTACGTCGTTCTGTCGTTTTTCTAATGACATTATATGAACGACAGGAGCAGTACTCGCTTCTCCTCGTTGAAGTGATCGGTTTTCGTCCTTCTGCTTTAGAGTTAAGAAGTGAAATTGACACACTGCGGATGCAGAGGTCCAAATTTGATCAACTTTACCGAAAGTTGGAGCAAACCTTGTCCAAACAGAGAACGGTTATTGGCCAAATTATTGAAGCAACATCACAAGCTTACGAGCAACGGTAATTTTTGGTGGCTTTGTTTAACAATGATCTTGTTGATAAATACTGACTGGTAAACTTACTAGTGGTACCCTGAGTGGATTTCTGGTACCAAGCTGCTTGTTGACACTACAGGGCTCCCCTCCAAGTCAACACTATCGAAAAACAAGGGAATTCTGAAAGAGGCCCACCTGGATGAATAGAAGGAAGACTGGGAGGGGGGATCGTGTTACTGTCTTCCGCTCACTGCAGCTACTTGAAGTGGCAACGAATAATTCGGATACATATATTTTTTCCACTGCATACTTAGGAAAATGAGGCCGAAAAATCTGATGTTACCGGATGACTTGATTTTGATCCAGTCCTCAACAGTTCACATACCTTAGCATTTTTCATTCATTTAGTCATTCTTAATTTAGTTTGGCAAAGTAGCACAATGCGTAAACTTCTGTATCGGCGAGAGTCTATAGACAGTTGCAATGTCACATGTTCATGGTGAATACCCATTAGAAGACTGTGTGTCTTTGACCCAGCCAAGAAAATTATTTGCACTCGGAGAAAATGTTCGGAAGGACTGCTGAAACCGACACAGATCTGTATTTTTCCTATCCAGTTGGAGAGGTTAACATGGAGAGTTTGTGTAGTTATTCTCAAGACTCTACATTTGGGAAGACTTTTTGGTGTCTATGGCGTGTGTATACTTGGATCGAGAAGTAAGGAGACATCTTGCATCAAAAGTAAAAAAAAGTGAAGTAAACTGGACATAAGCGATACGTTTTTGGTTTTACCTGAGAAAATCTCGGTAACTTGCAAATTAATGCTAACCAAAAAGTTACAAAGCCAGGGAAGACTCTTTGATTGCAGATGCCACCATGCTTCAGTTATCTTTTCTGGTTGTATGCTGCACCTCACTAGTAATGTACATTTTTAGTCTACATACACGGTTTTATTTTACAACTAACAAATGTTCAGTGTCACTTTTCCCATCCTTTAGTGAGGATGCAGCCCAAAGAATACAACAGCTAACGGAAAAGGCGGAAAAAGATACACAACAACATAACAATGAAATGAAAGAACTAGTTCGCTTGATTGACCACGATCGAAAACTAAAACATTTCATGAAAATCAAGGCGACCGAGAGGCAAGAAGATCCACAACTCACTGCATGGAAGGTATTGCAATTCAGAGTTCAGTGCCCCTAACAATAATTGATAACACTCGGAAGTTTCTCTGAAAAGCGCAACTCATGTTGTGTTCACTTATTCAGTTAATCAGTCTACCGCACACTGGGCTTCGCAGTCCACGCTATTCGCCTAAGTACACGCCCAGAATGTCCAAATACCTCTGTACACATGATGATCTGGTGTATATTCAACCGAAAATATAAAATGAAGTCTGACTGCGCACTATCTGACTAATTAATTGAAAGCCACCCATAGCCAGAATGTAAGAGGACTAGTCGCACGAATCTTGCAATCATCCTTTTGGGGAGAGCGAATTGTTCCACGAAGAAAATGTTGATACTTTTGGGAGGGTTTGGGGTGGGGTGGGTGGGTGGTCCTTTAGGATGTATGTTACCTCCAACCTTACACATGTTGAAAGCACCCGTGACAATCATTTCCGTAAGTTTATTCACTCTGATAACGTTTGTGATAACTGGTAAATATGTTTCCATTCTCTGACAGTTTTGGTGGCACCTTGTGTGTAGCTGATGGGCCGAGACCAAATCATTCACAACTAACGGTTTCCTTCTATCCGCTTCTTATGACACGCTCAGATATTCTTTTGGTGGACTCCAAAGCAGCTATCTGAACAATGTATGACCACCGCCTAAATAGCATCCTCTGTGGGAATCCTTATCCCATAAATCGCTTGAACACATTTTAATGTGCATCTCAAAGTGAGGTGACCTCGAGTCATAAAAGCGCATTTTGTAATCATTAATAAGATGTCTCGCCGAAAAACGAAATGTTTCCATTTGACCTTTAAAATGCTACTGGAACCAAATAGACGTGTCTCCAGTGGGATAAACTAGATTTGCTTTGGTTAATAGTCGCGGCGGCAGCAAACCGCCGGTACGGCTTCAAATTTGTACATCAGTAGGCAGGAATCATTCACTTAATTACTTTGTTTGTCAGATATGCTTGAATCTCTCACTGAGGGCTGGGGAAAAAACGCTGTGTTAGCTTGGGATGATTTATCCTTCTAAGATTCATGCACCGATTCACCAAGCACACAGACGTTACAGCCAATACAGCTACCGATTTGTTTGACATTCTTCAAAACACCCAGTGATTTTTCTTGAATTACATGAGACATATTATTGGGCTGCATGCTTTGAAGTGCACGTTGAAAGACGGTGTGATGGAGGTCAGCCTAACCAACGAGGCTTGTGCCTTCTGCCGGTCTTCAGAGATGAGGACCACGTCAGCTGTAGGCTTCAGAGCAAAAGGTTACCACCATCAACGGTTTGACCGCCAGAGCTTGCCTCGTCATTTCACCGACGAAACATCTGAACGAAAGTAATGAAAAGGACATCTTTTTCAGACACTGCTTCTTGTTGAGACTTCAAGAAAGCTCGTCAGACAGCCCTGGTCTTCTGGATATTTGTGAATAGAAAGGCTTCTAAGAAATTCCCTGTTGAGTTTATGCCGAGCAGATGGCCGATCGGCAGGATCAAGCAAACACTTAAGTTCACGAAACAGTAGCTACTGAGTGGCAGCGGAGATGTGTTCATTCTTTTAGCTGTTTGTGTCTTACTTCGTGGCGGAAGACAGAAATGGATGTCAGGTGTGCCACCCGAGAAAACCGAACAAATTCAAAGTACATTAAAAATAACCGACCCTCCTGATGAATCACAGTAAACAAATCAGTGCATGCGGTAAGCGGGAACCACTAAAGACAGTCAGAAAGGAATGATTCACCTAGTGTTTTTGCATATCAGTAGCAAGTTTACATATCACTCAAGAGGGGAGACAACATTATCGAATCTACGGTAAGGTGGAAAACGGTAAATGGGCCAAGGAAGCAACTGAGAGAGGATGTACCAGCTTAGTGCCTGGGTGTATAAAGTATTATTAGATTACACTGAATGGCTCCGATGACAGAAGAATAAGTAATATTGTCTTTAATAAAAGATGAGTACTATAAAACTACTTGGATATCCTTCGCTAAATTCTTAGCATCCTAGATTAGAATCAACTAGATTAATAGATTTCTTAGACTGACTGAATTAACCTGCACGAGATGAGCATGAATATATAGTCTGTATTCACTTATGCTACCGTACCATCTCAAATTGTTTCTTATCTTATTTATGTAATTGCTGTTGCTTCAGGCCAAACGCATTCAAGAAGCTGATGAACGCCGTGCCGAAGTCGACAGATTAATAGATAATTACGAGCAAGCTTTTGATCGGATGCTGGAAGTCATGGAAGAAGCTAATCCTGAGAACCTAGTTCAAGGCTTCCTAGAGAAAGAGGATAGAAATTTCGCGCTGTTCAACTATGTGAATGAAACAAACGCTGAAATCGAAAGATTAAACGAGGAGAACGAAAATGTAATTGAATATAGTATTGTTTTAAACTTTCTCAGTTCATATATATATATATATGTGCATATACACACACACGTATATACATATAAGCCCTGGCAGGAAAATAGAACCGCGTATTGTCTTCAACATTTTTCCACATAAGGTGAAGATTTATCATCGGTGACCAAATAACAAGCCTATGATGTTCACAAACACTGGAGCAAAAACGCTTTCGTCCGCTGTGAATGGACTGGATGGTGGATTACTTTAAAACTTAAATGTTGTGTATTCTACTGGCTCAATGTTTGAAACTTTTGCATGCGTTTTGAAGACGAGTGGATGAAGATCCAGTTTCATGGGTAGTTGATAGATTTCGTAGTCTCACACCTAATGTGAAGATGTGTGCTTCACAATCTGTGTTAGCCTGTGTGCTGGAATCGAGAGTTCCATAACTTCAATCTGCAACCTCTATTTGTACAATTCGTAGAGCCTATGATGATTTGAGCTGATCAGAAGCCTCTGCACCCGGAACCCGGCCTTCGGAATGTTGATTCTTATCGATTAGTGTACACCGCCACGTTTTTTGCATGTTTGTGTAATAGCCTAGTAACATTGAACGTTGCTTGGACACCAAATTTGTCCTTCTCAATAGCGCTCTTTTTGATGCTGCTGACATAAGTGCGTTAACATGCAGTAAGAAGTGAATCTGGAGCAGAAATGTAAAAATTATGCATAATGTGCACAATTCCAATAATTTTCGATGAGGGTTTAATTGGAAGGTTCAGAATGTTTTGTTACCACCTGGCGTATTTGTGAAAATGGCTGGGTTATACTCAAGCCGATTTTTCTTCATTCTTGCAGCCGCAATTCTGTGAGTGCCCTAAGCAAGTTATGAACTATTGTACTCAGCATAACCCTGTCTTATAAACTTTTGCCAGTTTTTAATACTGGTTGACCCAACATAGCAGAACAAGAACTGGCAATCCATGATGTGTATGATTTAGAACAGTGTGCAATATTTCTCTGGATTCTTTCTTGGATTAATTCAATGACTAGAGCAGTGGTCACCTGTGTCTTTTGAAATGCTTGAAGTTTTAAGTAAATGCGATTGAATTTCGCTATATTTAATTCGCAAAATGCACATTGGTTATCTCTAACCAAACAGTGAGTGTGCTATTTCAATTCCACATCAGTCTGGCACAATGTTTTTTTTCTCAGCTGTGCACGTGTTTGAAAACAGTTATATACTTGTTTTTCTTTTTACCAGCTGGCCGCAGAAATAGATAATTATGAAGAGAAAATGACGAAAGTAGTTGACGTGCAAAAGGATGCAATGAGTGAATGGAAGTTGTTGAATGAGACGGCTAGGGAACAACAGGAGAATACCGAAGCACGGCTTTCGGCCGCCAACGAAACCATTAAGACTGTGTGTGATATCGTTTCAGAAATAATCCAAAAACTGAAATGTGACACGTGAGTTATCTGTTATCGCTTGTTGTTTACTCGTTTATTTTTTTGTTTTCTGTGAACTAGGAAACTAACAACACTTGTATGCAAACACCTTGATTTATGTGTAAATATAATTTATAGGAGTTTAGTACCAACCAGTTGATATGTAGATTACCAGATACAAGTAAATGAACAGAACGCAACGGATGATCAACAGAACAAACAGCCCATCTATGAATATCGACTCCAATTATATGATAACTCAACCTATGTTACCGAGTATCTGTGCAATAGAAGTACCGCTAATACCAGGTTCATGTTTAGGGGACTGCTGTATCGTGGGTGGCCGTCTAGTGGTTACGCCTGCAATGAGCCTGCAAGGCTACGTGATGAGGAGAAGACGGAGAACCCTGGACATGGCTGTATTGTCAGGACAAAACATACAGAGCGTCTGAGTGAATACATAGGATGATTAAACGGCCAATTATGGTCGTTCGTTCTGTACAGCAATGGCGAAGTTCCGGTCGAGAACAATTTAAGCCCCACTCCGCTGGTCTTGTGTTGCTAAACCGTGTGTGGTGGGCTTCGCCAACGCACCTGCTATCCGGACCGTGTGGTATCGATAATGACCTTGGGGACGCATCGTTCTCTGCACATTTGCTTTTTAATGTCCGGGTGCGTCCTGACAGGGACTTTCCGAATTGCATCATTTAGTGAACAACAGGCATTATCTGAGGTAGTGTCTCTGAGAAGGATCCAAGGTAGGCCACGATACCTAAAACGATGGAACCCTGATTACAATTCCTACTAATATGCTTTCCAGTTGCACTGGTAGCTGTGGTCGTTTATGTAGTTGACCTAGCGTTACTGTGTGTGACAAGTGAGATTAACAGGAAAAGCGGGAATGTAAATTACCACATTTAAAGAATTTTTCGCTAAAACCTTATGTATATCCCACCTAGGTGTACCGGTCGCTGCCTTACCAAAATGGAGTTCTCCCCACTGAGCTGCTGAGAACGTCCGTCCTAAATGATATCTATGCGCCTAAAAAACCGGGTTTCATGTCATCCTGCCTATAGGTGGTCGGAAACCAGGAAGGAGATGGCACGCAGCCGATCCTAGTGGCGTGTGTGCCGTAATTTTCTAAGTTGAAGTGTCAACCTAAAGTTTGGCTGTCATCTTGCGCAGGACTTGTGTTGGGTGAGGTTCACAATGAACGCAAGGTCAATCCAATCGATAACGCCTTACCTCTTCCTTATACTGCGCTTTCTTTATTTTAATGCTGTCCAAAGGCTTAGGCGCCCTAATTTCGATGTTTTCCTTTTTCGCACTGATCCCCTATCTTTCCGTTTTCTCTTTTCCTCACTATGACCGTCTTTCTCGTGATTTAATGGTAGAGAACCCTCAGGTATTACTGATGTGATGCTGCCGGTGATGTTGAGGGCTTACACGTGTTGCACCACTCTCATTCCTAACGGATTACTTACTGGAGTCTTGGCTTCAGCCATGAAATACATGTGGTTATATTCATTGCAAAATATCATGTCGGTCCTAATGCATTTGATTGTACTTGGATTTTCAAATCACCACCGCACAGAAGGCAAATAGAACAGAAAGAGTAGGAGCAAACAGGAGAGCTATTCTAAATTCTTTCCTTCTGAATTCATCCTCTGTTTGATTAAATCATCGTCTTTACAAGATACACAGATTAGATCTTAACAGGTACATGGGTGAGAAAATTTCAGGCTATTCACTGGAACCTATAAAACCAGAGTTCGGCTGGCAAAATGATCCGAATAGTTCGCGAAACTTGGTCATTTGGAACTAACAAGTAGGCCTTTTGATTTACATTTTACATGTATATTTATATGTACATTTTTGACTTCGTCATGTAAAATATGTACACTTAACGGCAAAGTCGAATGCAACGCTGACATAGTACGTTTAATTGGAATATCTACGTACACTTATGTTATTATGGCCTGAAGGCCAATGCATGCTGTGCTAAACACTTGACAGCGGTTATTGTCACTACCACTTGTAGTCCCACTGGATCAGGTCAATAGTTCACACCAAAAACACATGATAATACCATGGTAATTCCATTCTGACATTCGAAGCCAGAAGGGTCATCACGTGCTTTGTCCCTAAAACATTGTTCCCAGTTCAGCGCTGTGCAGCCGGACGAGATCATTGATAGTTTGAGAAGGTTTGGAATATTCAGTCGAGCTTTTGCCTTGTAGGTGAAGTCCATCTATACGGAGCAATTGGAAAGTGCTGTACAGGTGTTTCGTCTTAGAGCAAAATATTCTGCCTTTGTTTGCTCGTCAGAAAACGCAATTTAATATTTTGATTCAAAATGAGAACTGGTTTCAAAAAACCGTTGGGGTATATTTTGTCCAGCTATTTCATGAAAAATTTTTATCGTTAGTAATTTCTCGAGATTTGCCACAACTAGTTCAGCGACATGTCAGCACAGAGGAAACCCAAAAAAATTTTAGGATCCATTTGAGGAGACAGATTGTGGATTTTGTAGGCAGCGTGGAGCATAGGGCCCTTCGGTCAGATGACTGACAGTCAAATGGCCCAGCGACGTTTGCTTGTGCAGTGGGAAGGGGTTGGGGAGCGACATCGGTGGACGCGCCCTCAGTGGCGCTCGTGCATCCAAGCTATTGCCTTCAATGCATAGCTCCTTTTCCACCCACCCCCCCCGCTTGACGACTCACTGAAAGTGCTGGATTTATGCACCAATTTACCAGCTCGCGCGTGCAATGCGCAGCTTCTTACCCCCCAATCATCGGTGAACGAAACTGTGGCAGCTACAACCAGTGTACGACCAGTACGCGGTTATTACAGCTGATAATGATGATGATGATGATTGTGGATTTTAAATGTAGTAAAGTTTGCTTTGTGAGCACGACAACCATTGAAAGGAACATGTATGAGCATGTCGATGCCCAAAGTGATTACCTGCGAAATCTACTCCCTTCAAGTGTACTACGTGAGTAAGGAACACCAAATTACTTCCAGTGGGAATCCCTTGTAGCCCAGCTGTCTCACTAGCTAAGCAGTGATTATTGGAGTCACTATGGCATGGATACATTGTGTATAAGTCTCTCACAAAGTGGCCTATGGAAAAGATTGCTCTTAGTACAATTGAAAAACAAGCCATCCATTGTTATCTAAGTTTTGGTTTCTTTAGATGAGAGTGTTTAATAGCCACAAAACTTTTGGCTACAATATGAAGAAATATTGCAGTTCTGAGCCATAGCTACCTTTTGAATGATCGTCTAGAGCCTAGTGAAGAGTATAGGAAGGGTAGTCGCATCATTACAGGTGCGAATCCCGTGCATTGTATATATACAAGCCTTAGAAATATGATAATGTTTAGGACTGATCGTTGGCCAGTTCATTTTCGAACGCTTCACAAAATATGGTGTGTATTCTGAAGGAAATCACTTTCATGGATTTACATAGGAGACAAAGGCTTTTATCTGCAATGCAGCCACCTCTAAGACGTCAAAAAGTTTATAATAAATTGAGAAATAGACTGATTTCTGGAACTTTGCACGCTGCAGCTTCTACCATCGGGCGATGAGTTATAGTAATTAATATGCCAAAAACCACTATTCAGGAGAACTGGGTAAGGCGGCTGCTTTTTGTAGTGCAAACTACTAAGGGCTTGAAGCATACATAATGATTATTGACCCATAAATCTCCCCGTTGAAGCCACTTTAAATTCCTGTCACTCAAGAGTGCTGATATATGTTAAGGTTCGTCAAGCTTGTGTCGAATATCTTGTCTTCTTCTAGCGGACGGAACACCTTGAGACTTGGACAATAATTCTCCTTGTAAGTTTATCACTTGGGCATCCATCTGCCTTTCGAGGTTTGCCATTTTCTTGCAATCATCCCACCACAAGTGTATAATAGGCTGATATTCGCTGTACAAATGGTAACGAAACGTCTCAAGGTCGTTTGTCATCCAAGCAAAGAGATAAGCAAGCACCTGACCAGCCACCAATAAAGGCACCTGAGCTATCAATATTCTGACACTGCCAAACTCTCATGTTAGGTGGCTGATTTGATGTGGGTACTGAACAGTTTTTGCCCCACCCAGCCACTTCGGTCGATCTTTCCCCATAGGATGCTAACTCTTTCGGGTATTGCTGGAATATAACTTTTCATATACGCCGGCAAATCGCAACGGTTTAATCCTCTTAGTGCGAGTTTTCACCAGAAAGTCAGTTTATTATATGACTTCATCACAACGCTTTTTTGGCCATTTCATCAAATTCCTGATAAAGGGAACGTACTTCACTCCAAAATTTAAGTCCACTAATCTGAGCAAGAGTGTCTCCTGAAGATACATGGTAGATTAAGGGATCTTGCCGAATTTCCATCAGGGTCTTGAATTGAAATGTAGCTTCTTTTTTCTGACAAGTACGATGTTGACGCGCCGCTTGGCGTCATCAGAAGGAATCACCCAAAGCAACCTACTGGACTACCTGACACTGGTCGAACAACGAGTCAACCAGTTGCTTTTAATTCGGCAGTTCATTGCGGTCAATGATCCAGAAGCTCCGTTTGTCGCAAAATCAATTCTGATTGGTAACAACCTTAACGCACCCCCGACTGACAACATTCCGTCAATTCACCCGCCCAGTCTCCGAGACGATTTTGATGAAGGTAATTTTTGTTTTCTCACGATTCTCAATGATAACTGGTTTCGGACCATATCTTCGTTATTCCTAACAATAATTTGTGGTTTGAATCTTCTGCAGACTAGCGCTGTAAGTCTACAGCACATACTGTTTTTTCGTGGCTGATTTTTGTTTTACCAAAGTAGAAGTAACCATTATTATATCTGGTGCCCACAAGACATGGTTGAAAAACTACGCCATATTAAGGGACTCGTGAATGACGATTCTAGCACCTTGGGACACTTTGCCTCCATTTTTCTGTCGGGATATGGGATATCTATGGTTTTAAACGAGTGTTACGCCAAAGTGATTGCTTTAAGCGCATTGTTCTGAGCTATTATATGTCGACAAAACTGTGTCAGATAATCGCAAATCATCTTGCGCTATGCTGGTTTACAGTGAAGTGATCGTAAGCAAGAAAAATTTATAGCACGGGGATGAAAACACTGGATCTTTGATGGCAAACATGAGACAATTCCCAGTCAAGATAGTGCAGATTAAGGTCGAAGCAGGAAGCACATCACACAATAATTACATCTTAAATGACTTACGGTGTAATAACTTTCTTTTCAATTTGGTCTCTGCGTTTCAGCTTCAAACAATAAATCCCGCAAAATTGCCGCTCAGCACATTCGTTGTCAGTAACAAAACCGAGCAGAGCAACACATGACAGTATCCGGTTAAAGATTCATCTTTGGAACTCAGTGCAATTGTGGTCGTACGTATGCATTCGAAGGCAAATTGGGGCGAACAAATTTGGCTTCGGGAAAAGTCTTCAGGCTTAATGTTCTTGCTTATCTAGGATACTGACTATTACTAGGAGAAAAATGATATCAGAAAACGGTCGGCATGATTTATTCATATGATTTGAACTCAGGAAATGTGCATCACTGCGGAAGAGCACCGCTCTAGGTTTATTATCTTTTTAACTTTATGTTTTCTCCGTATTAGCACGGAAGTAGCGTTAAACGTGTCTCCTGATTACTTGTTTCAGCCTATTGAAAATTGCAGCGGTATTGCGAAAATTCAGGAGATGACCTATAACAGTTGTTATGTTCCTGAATAAAAAAAATAACAGTTGCAATTAAGCGATAAACTATACCATCAAATAGATGGTGTGAACTCCCCGTTAGAACCGTTAGTTGCTGATGTATTCATGACACAGCTGGAGAATAACCAACTTTTATTTTTTTGTTTCAACGCAGATTCTATGGGCGATGTTTTCTAGACATTTTTGTTTTTCATAAATCACTAAGCTAAAGGAGCAACACGTAGAGTTCAGTGTGCTTTACCCATCGTTGACCCTGAAAAAGGAGTCGGAAACAGCACCGAAAACTTTGCTCACACGGGATGACCTACGGAATTTACTCGCCTGCATTTAGTTTTGATGTATTGCTGTCAATGAAGATGATGATGATGACGAGAGACGGTCCGACGTGCGGCCTTCCTGAGGGAACCCCAGAGCGACTACAAACATCACTAGTTTTGTCCGCGTTGCCAAAAAGTGTAATCTGATACCGTTCTTGAGGTGACCTACTCAAGGAATATTCACTGAAGTTGAATGTGCTCACATTATATTTGGACAAAACGTTGAGCCCTATCGTCCTTTCCGTACAAAGCCGTCTTGAAACTCATTGACTGCACGGTGACCAAGATAATGTGAGATCAAAATGGTCCTAAACTCACGGTTGGGCCTCATCCAAAACTATGTGGATATCAGAAGGTCAAATGAAGTCACTTTAACTGTGTTGTCAGATGAGAAAAATACGTTGGTTCACTCAACGTCAAGCTACGTGCGGCACTACATCAAATTTACGGAGAGCTCTCTCGTTTTTCGTTTGTAGGGAATCTATTTGTCTCGTTTTTCTCTTTGACCTGACAGGTATCGCCAAAATTCATCTTGTGGTTTATATGTTGTTTTTATGAATGCATCTGAAATAGCAGTAGTCAAACTGAAAGTGGTTGTGTGAGCACCATTCCGTTGTAAGCCTTTTCCCAAGAGTTACAAAAACGAGTTCTTTGGTTGCACACTGTCGATTCAGCACCTAGAGCGCGTAATAGTTTATCGCTTTGCTTAAATAAACTGTGTAAATGCATCAACCAGGTAGGGTTATTTCAATCTAAATCACCCAATGCACACGGATCTTCCCCCACAGCAAGTGGTAGATTGACAGTGCACCGTGATGTGCTTTGAAGGCAGCCAGCAGTAACGGTTAGGGTCCATGTGGTTCTTTTCCGTTGGTCGCCCACAAGAATGATGCTGAAAATGTTGATCCGTGTGCATGTAGTAGTATCATAAACAACTCCAGGCTCACTTATAGCGATATCGAGCAAGATCCAGGATGCGTATTTGTAGCTTACCCTCAGATGGAATCTCTCTAGCTATTCTCATTTATCAGGGTTTACGGTGTTCTACAACTGTCACATTTAGCATTGTGTTATATCTAACTGCCGTTCCCAACCCAGTGCATGGTGCTCACCGTCGGGGGTATACAACAGCTTCATTCCAAACAAGCGAGTGCGTGCAAATGCAAAAATTACAACGGCCTTTCTGACACTGACCCAGGATGTCTGGTAGGCGTTTAGTGAACATCCATTGTTGACACTTGTCGGCTTTTACTGAACTGATTGAATGATTGACTGGCCCGGATGCTTGCCGGCTTTTCTACTGAGATTTTAGTGAAGTTTTAGGGTCTCAGTAGGTTCCGGGGGTCCTAGGGTTACTCTCAGGAACCGGACCTTCCTGATACATTGCGTGTTACACTCCCGAAACACGTAGTTTTATGTTTCACTTGTCTTACCATTTATTGTTCTTTATGGAAAATTCCCCCCTGAGTGGGATAATCCGGCTCGTGGAATATCCGAAATGGTTGCAGATCACGAAGCTTTTATTGCTTCGAATAGATCTCGGGGTAAATTCCAGAAGATACTTTGTATCAATAAAGTTTGAACGAAATTACTGGGGCAAGCAAAATAATGGTCCTATTAGATGTGAGCTCATCAGTGACATCTAGGGCTCTTAAATTGGCCGAGTGAAGTGTCGCTAAATTACTGGATGACTATGGTATATCTGCGAAGAGAACACGACCTGTACAAACTGCTCAACTTATGGCAGATAACATTGTTCGAGTTCAGCGAGCAGTATTACGCCTAATTATGAGGAGCATTATTCGTGTTCAAGACCTCAAGGTTTATCGCAGAAATCATAATGCATAAACTGAGGCGAGATATGAACTCAAAAACACAGATCTACTGCATAACCGACACCTTGAACCCCATCAGAAGTAGTGGATGAAGTCGTACAAGCCACTTAATAAATAATGAATTTTGAAGAGATAAAATTTACAGCTGATGAAATAAATGACTGAGACCTGGTGTTTTCGGATCGTCCGTTTGTGAGTGGGTCGACAAGAATCGCTACACCAGTGAGTCGAAGGAGGGCCGGTACAAAGATATTTTTCAAGATATGATGACCGAAAAACTTTGTCTAAACTGCTCCTGCGAAACCTCTTTCGACAAAATTAGGATCACAAACTTAGAGTAAACAAATCGAGGAAATTCTGTAAATGATTGTAAGATTGCCACATCGTAATACGATAATGATATACAAGTCCAATGCATATGGTGAGCATCATCAGACCGGGAAGTGGAATTGAATATAAGAAAGACGGCCAATGTTGTACACAAGATTCAGTTCAAAGGCTAATGCAGACACTTCGGGACTCAGAAAGTTTTCACCGGACTATCTGAACACAATCTTATGGCCTAAAATACGATCAATCTTATCCCCGTTCATCCGAACCTGGAAGGATACGAATCTGATAGAAATGCTGACCCGAATACGAACAAGGAAAGTAGTGAATTGATGAAGGTGGCGTACTGAACCAAAATCTCCATCAACAAACGATGCAAAAACTACAAAGTCCATCAAATACTAGAATCAGTGACAGGTTGAGAAAGGCTGATTCAACCCGAAAAGACTGACTTTGGTGAAACACGCCCCAGACAAAAAAAACAAAACGCGAAAAGTAAAGGACAGTTTAACAAGAGAGGGCATTTAAATAAAAATTCAACCGTAAGGAACTCCCGAAAAGTGAAGCGCGGCCAGGCGAGTTAACTCAATAACATCGGCGCAATGAATTTCGCAAAATGGGCCAAAATATCAAAAGGAGAAAGCCACGAAAATGGAACTACGCGCAGAAACCAATCACCTTTAAGGAAAACAGACAGATAATTAACACAGTTAGAAAATCGAACGATTGTAACATAGAAAACATCCCAAATAAAAGCCGCTTAACGGACCAGACGAATGCATGGAATTCAGACCACAGCGCAACACGAATGGGCAGTTTGGTTGCAAATATATAATCACCAACCGAGATGTTCTCATCAGTTTTTAGGGAGTGTACTGGAGTGGATGAGTCGGGGGTTGTGCGTAGATGTTGCGTATGCCTTAAGTTACGTACTGTCAGTCAGGGCTGACCTTCGCTCTCAATTGTTTGTTCGATACAGCATCTCTGTCACTTGGTCGGATATTTGTGCCCTGATTAGAATACGACTGCGTGACTCGAACATGAATTCATCCGCCCCTGTGCTACGGTTGGTGCTGGAATGATCTGTTTCCTTGAACTCTCTCGTTTCAAATTTGTAATTTTTTTAATATGATCCCAAGAAATTTATTTTTTTCATGGTATGGTAACCGGTTATTCGCTTGCTTTGAGCATTAAAGTTGACGCACTTTTTCCTTGCACACATGGATGATGATGATGAGGGCAGAGGAAGTCAAGATCAAAGGTCTCAGAGATCAAATGGTCGACCTAACGGACTTATATGAACCGAAAACTGACTTCTACGTTTGATAAATCCGACCGTAAACATTAGCTCATTCTTAGATTGATCAGAGAAGTATGTCTTTAAGGAAGTTTTGTTACCGGCCGGAAACCACACAAGTATTCATGAACGGCAAATAGAATCATCTGCGCATAAGCTGGAGAATGGTCTCTCACCTTTGGAATGACTTACCTCCGTTTCGGAAGCGGGTTTGATAAAAAATGTTGCTCCAGCAAAGGTGAAGCTACGCTGTAATAAGTGAGCCGTGAACAGCACTTCGTTCAGAAGCACTCATGATACAAACCACTGAAGGGATCTGCACCAGGCTTCGGACCAAAGATTTCATTTAAATACGTAAGTTCCTAGTTTATACAAAACGACTTAAGATGAAGATTATGAAACTCGTTTCAATGGTACAGAATTCCTCTCAATCATTCAGTGTTCAGGTTAAATGGCGGTGACCACACATCAGCTGTCTAGAGATTTGAACAGGCTTCGGATCGCCCAGCAGTACCGCGGTCACGAACAACATTCCTAGGTGTCAGAGAAGGACTACCTTTTAAGAGTGGTAAATTTAAAAAAGGTCTAAGAATTGCTGCATTGTGTTCAATGCACATCACTACCAATAGTAGTCCCTACATTAGTGATATGACTGATTACGACTGGTGTAGAATTTTTCATCTGGCTCTAAATCAGGCATCAACTTGGATCCACGAGCGTTAACACCTGTGGACTCATGCGATCACTGAGGTATGTTGTTTGTCCCATGTGGTTTCCTGATATCTGAAAGCTTTCGAACCCAGTGAAAAACGGAATCCCGGCCGTGGGCTTTTGAAGAGTAGTTGTGAGTAGTTTCCTTTATGAATGTCGTGCCAACTGAAGCATGAAGCGGCCTGTGTGCAGCACATTCAGATGGAGGACATCATAAACGAGAGTCTCCCGGAAAACCAAACTGATTTGCAAATGAGTGCATTTCTCGGAATCCTTACTGTTTTCAATGTAGGTTGCGTCAACTGAACTCTCCGGATGGGGTATCTCAGTTCAAAGACCTTTGACATAAGCATTCGGAGGCTTTATATCCCAAATAAATCAGAGAAAATAGCATCACTATGGCTGCAAAACACGCCCTAGCAAAATCCTTAATAAATAAGTTGCTCATGCTTGTATCCACAGCAAAACGTCAGCGATATACTCTTGGCAAGCCTTCGAGTTCACAACTAGGCTGTTGGGGCGAATTTTAATTCCAAAGATGACCTACCTTGACATTCACGCCCGGTTTTGTACTTCTTCGAATGACTATCATTTTTGTATTGCTTGATGGCATACACCACAAGGTTTTAGAAGTCTACATTTTCTGTTACACCAGTCCGGTTACGACTATTCTATGCATGCAACTGGACCATATTTATGATTCATTTACACATTCACTGTGTTGATTTATGTGACAGCCAAATTGCTATGCAATCCTCTTTCTTTTGTTTTGACAGCCTCAGAGATATCAGTTCTCAAGCCGTACTCGCGGGAAGAACTCCATCGGCGTGTTGTAACAACAGTCCGAAGAAAAGAGAATGAAGCCAGATCTACCCAATCTATGAGTATCTCGCTTTCAAAGGGTCCCAAGATCTAGACTGCAGGATACCGTGGAACATGCCTGGGTTTTCAAAGCACTACACGTCCCTAACATTGACGATACCGTATGTTTTCTAGGGCGTGGCGAAAAACCGACAATCTGATTTGGTGGGGACAAAGTTTATCTGGTATCAATTGCAACAAAGGATCTCTAGTTTCCGTTGCATCCATCCAATACAGCCTAAAATTACGATTATTTAAAACAGTCTGACCACTCTTAGTGCGTCTTTCTATTCAACGCATACATCTTGAAATGACACTGAATGAGACTTTTAGTCAACCGGGTCTTAGAGATAAAATTCAATTTTTCATTCACCTGTTATCCAATATTGGCCTGAAAAATCTACTACTGGTTTGGTAACCTCATCCACGTAGGCCGTTTATACAGTGGCCTTAACAGAACCAAAAAAGCTGTTTGGACGCTAACCTTTTGAGGGACAAGTGGATGTCTGTCGTATGCCCATATTCGTGATAGCGAAGATGGAATGTAATGTTAAGTCTAAAGATGACTCGTTTTGTCACAAATACTTACTTTAGAGTCCAAAATTACGTTCCAGTCCATTGAAAAGTACTAATATCGTGTTTTTGAGTGAATTATATTCATACTTTACCCGGGTACCAAAGAGGGCAATATAAACAATACGGCATTGTCCCTTGAATGGGAGTTAGTCGGGTACAATATAAGCCTAAATGCCTTCTCTGAGACTACTCAATATTGATGGACAGTGAAAGAATCAGTTAGACTAGATGGTTAACTAAAATGTACAATAACTTACAGAAATACTCCAACTAGTTTTAGATTTGGGTGAAGAAAAATAGGAGATATCTTACCAGATTCTTACAATTTGCTCATCCGTTGAACGATTAACGTGTGCTGTCCACTACCATGATTATGTACAACATCACAAAACTAGTCGATTATAAGTCAAACATGTGGGCGTGGTATGACAGTGTCATGTTTGTAGAATGTAGGAGTTGATACCAAGTCGGCATTTTAAGGTTAGAAGTACCATGAGGAACACAAAGGATGAAGTAAGAACCTAGTGCATTCTTGTCACTCATAGTTTGCGCTAAAAATGAGGCGTCAGAAATCCACGTAACAATACAATAGACAAGAGAGTGCGGTAAACTCCAAAAAATGAGAATTCGCAATATATTTTGCATTGGGAAACTCATACACTTAATGATTGTTGTCTGAAACGGCTCGGTGCTGCGGTTTTCTATTGTGGAATAACCCATGCTGACTTTGCCTTAAAAAGTTGGCCATCTGAGGAAGCTTAAACATTTTTTCAGTGGCTTTATCGTTAATTAATGCGACTGAGTGCTGTCTTTTGATTGAACGAATCCATAAAACTTTGAATGGTTCGAAGTGAGGGAACAGGCGTGTCTTCAGTAGGTGGACGAACGGCCGTACACGGAACCACCGGTCCCCGTAAGTATACGGTATTGCACATAATAAGCGTTATCAAAGGTGGCGAAGTCAGAGAACTGGTAATCTACCTTCCACCTGGACGATTATCAACTGCCTATTAGCATCAAAATTAGCATATTTCGGTGGATCTACAGTGGTCTGGTGTGACGTAAACAGGACCTCCCTAAAGGTTTCGAATAAGCGTTACAAAGGTGGCGAAGTCAGAGAACTGGTAATCTACCTTCCACCTGGACGATTATCAACTGCCTATTAGCATCAAAATTAGCATATTTCGGTGGATCTACAGTGGTCTGGTGTGACGTAAACAGGACCTCCCTAAAGGTTTCGAATTTAACATGGGAAGCGAGGACTTACCAATGTAATCTGTAATCTGTTGGACCTTCCTCAACATTTACCATACGAAGAAAGTTAATGATATCAAAAAATGGCCTTCTAGCAGCTTGTAAATTTGCGCTGAAAACGGCGAAATTCTGCCTAAGAGAAATAGGGCTTATGAATAGGTTTGGAATAGAGTTGAATTCCCAGGGTTTTCTTGCTCGATTCCTTTCATCGGAGATGAAGGAAATGTCCCAACTTGCTTAGGTTCGTATCCCTTGTAGCCAAATCTCTCCTTTTCTATGATTACAGTATCAAGATGGGGTAAGTACACTACACCAAGCGGTAACCGTTCAGAAAAACTACTTTAACGGAATCGACCACTGAGTACATCGATCATAAAACAGACGGAGCCTTGGTAATTGTTTGTTCTTACCGCATGGACCATGCATCATATCATCTCATTTCTTTCCGAAATTGGGCTTTTGCACCTATATGTCAACTCAGAATTGTTCAGGTCTAGAAAATTTTGAAGTCTACATCTATTTAAAAATACCTATTTGGCAGAGTGTCTGAATGAAAACGTATGGTAGGATTCCAACAAATGAATTCACCGGTCAGAGGTAAGAATCTGGAAAATTTAATCAACTGGACATAGCTGCTTGTGAAGCTTTGGTCCTGCGCATTCCCATAATAGGTCTTTAGAAAGCATAGCGAACAAAAACAAGTGTTGTACTCATCAAAGCAAAACCCTAGTCAACAGTCTGAATAAGAGCGATCGATAGAAGCTGGGCCAGTCCCAAAAACAACAGACCGTTAAGGGTTCGCGGGCCATCAATAATTTACGAAGGATGGGTGCTTATCAAATCACCTGGTAACCACAATGCCAGTCCAGAATGCAACCTTTCTAAGTTTCGAAACAAAATCAATACCACCCCAGCATATCTTGGTAGGTAACAATGGGCTTCGACTTTGATGTTACCGTTAGACAACAGCAATTACATAATAACGAGACGTTTCTCTTTTTCACTATGCGTTCAATTAATGCTACATGACGCTACATGACATGACTACAAATCTCACACATGTTGGAAAAAATCTTGATAGTGGTCACTCGTACGAATATATATCGCTTGGTTTACGGTCAGTAGTTGGTCTCTGCACGCGACCTACATTTTTCGTGTTTGAGCGTATTTTGCACAAACGGCTAAAGGGAGTAGCCTTGGGCTATCCAGCTGTAGCAACCAGAGCAAATATTTTTATTTCACACGTTCTCAACCGCCGGTGCATTTTGTGGCGTTTTGTCGACGATATACTCACAGTCATGCCACGTGTGTGCACTAAGAGCCTGTTAGGTTTCCTCACCGTCCTACAAAATGGCGTGTGTTCCACCTGTGAAACTGAACATTTAAGGCGATGCTTAATTTTCCTTGATTTTCTTGCCACAGTCAAAAATTCGAGTTGTGGTAGGTCAGCAAACGCACTCCAGATGTTAATTGGACTATTTTTCGTATCATCTAATGAATATGACGCGAATGACTGCAGTCACTGACGGACCGGGCAAGAAAATTTGTCCTGCTGCAATGAAATTAGCGGTGTGAAATAAGGACGGCACAAGCACAAGGACCCAGTATCTTCCACGGGACTAGATGAGTCACAAACCAGAGAACAGCCCGGAAGCTAGGCATCTCTATTGACTGTCGGACCACTACGTGCGCTTTTACCGGAATTCAAACTATGCACTGAGTTTGGAGCAGACACTACAACACATGAACGCACCTTAGGGATCCTATTTCAAGTTTACTGACACTACGAACAGTGTTTAATGTATGTTGTGGGGAGTGCAATTGCTGAGGTTCCCGATACGGGACTTAGGGTGACGAGTAGGTTCGACGATCCTGAATATCAAAAGGAAGAATTGGGTTCGTAATTCTACGGTACTATTTACACAAGGGTAAGCAAACGTATACAACATCCCCAATTGTTCACATTCGTAGCGTCAACAAGTTCACAGGTTTGTCACTGAGCGGCACAGTGAAGTGTCAACGTCCGCACACCAAACAACGGCGAGCGAAATGATGGCTCAGTATCGTGGGCTGCAGTCGTTCCTTCCGACGACGGTCTCGTGATTCTCACTGAACGTGCGGTCACGCGGTGCCCATGAGAAAACAAGTCAAGGCAGGCTTAGCAAGCGGGACATGAACGAACATGGGTAAGTAGGTCAGCAGCGCACATTCACACACGGACACATGTCATTACACAAGTGTCAGAAACGACGGCCTCTGCGGCAAGCATAACAACTGGAGGTCGAAATTACATAGGTGGAGTAAGCAAAGGAATGGGGGAATTATCATTATCATTATCATTATCATAAGATTCAACAGCAGTCATCTTACTTTCGACTTCAAAAAACATCCTATCATGGAGAACTGGGAGGTTGGGCCATTCCTCAGTACGCTCTAGTAAAGTATCATACGATCATGTTTAATCTGGTCCAGTCAGTATAAAACAGGAATTTCGATGCCCTTGTTGTCTTTGATGTGTCATATCCAGCTTGCGTGCCTCAACCAAAATAACGTTCTCCATATATCAGCTGCCTGACTGCATCAACCAGACGCTTTGTTCAGTGAGTTCAGCTGAGATCCGCAGACATGAGTACGTGACGCACTTGTATTGTTTTAGCAACGATTCCCGCCCGTTAGACTTGTTTTTCCTTCTATTTTTGTGATTTACTTACTCCACTCTTGAAGAAGCCTCCCTGTGGTGACCGAAAATTCGAGCAATGAGCACGGTATTACTCTAGCAAAATCCAACCTAATGGAAGCCACTCCCTAATAATCCATCTTTTACACTTCGTTCGTGAAGAACGCCGAAAATTCGAGCAATGAGCAAGGTATTACTCCAGCAAAATCCGACCCAATGGAAGCCACTCCCTAATTCTCCATCTTTTACACTTCGTTCGTGAAGAACTCAGTGTGGGTATTTTCACATCATGTACCGTGCTCTTCTCCTGAAAATTGGTCTCACTATTGAAAGCAAAAGGTTACTTTCATCGTCCATTAGATTATTGACAAACAGCCATTGATCGTTTAGTTCGAAACGTGTCGCAATACAGGCAAGCCAGCATAACGTCTTCACAAATTAAACACCATATTTGCCGATGCATGTTTCCTTTCCGAATGAGACTGATCGCGGTGAACAGAGAATACATGGTAACAGTTCGCTGTCAAGGCTCTCAGAGAACACTGGAGGCGCGTTCCTTCACTTTCTCACATAAAAAATTCCTGTCAGTGGAAGTTTTTCTGGATTAAACGGTGAATGGAAGTATTGCCAATGCATTTAACGCGACAGTTGACGTATAGGAATAGAGTTTTTTTAAGCCAGGAGATCGTGACAAAGCCAATAGTGCGCCATAATACGTGAAATCTACATGTTAAAAAAAAACCAAACAGTGTTGTGTGGAATCACGAATGTTCTACGTAATGAAAGACGTAATGAAGATTTT